CCAGGTGCACTAATTTACCACAGGTGAGTCTTCCATTCTTGTGCATGGAATGGGTTTATGAGCTTGTTTCTCTTCATGTAATATTTTCATTATTATCCAGTTCCCTTACAACAGGATACCATGGTACACTGTCAGGAAAATCAGAAGTCAAATGGCAAATAATAGAAGAACATATAAGGATTGAATTTGGATTTTTTTAAATAGTTGCTAATCACACTACCCCCAAATTAAAACAACAATTATTCCTTCTACTTTTGAGGAAAACATGATAAAATTATCACGTAGGGATCAGCGAAAAGATTGGCCTTAAAAATTGTAAATGGCTGATATTTTCTGCTGAGATTAAGTTTTTAGTGGCAGCAGAAAAAGCAAGTGAATCCTTTATTGATTGCCATGTGGTACCATTCTTAGTAATCACATTTAAATATAGATTTCAGCCTTAGGATGGGCTGGATTTGGACAAAGCCGATGTTGACTTCCTGGATCCTTAGCTCCTGTGGACACCGACCTGTTCTAGACAGGAGGCTGCATGTTGATCTCCTTTGTCTCCAAGATTGATTGACGGGTGCAGTGTCTGCTCATTTACAGCATTCTTATTTAATTGAAAAAAAAAATGGTGACATAGTATTACATGGTTCTTTATACATCGTATTTGGAGAAGAAAGTTGTTTAGCCAGTGTGTGGACCTGGCCTGTGGGACCCTCTCTGTAGCTTTCATTCAGACCTCTCTATTCATCATTAGGTCAGACCATTCTCTTCATGCACGGGAATCATCACCAGCAGCAAAATTTGACATTTGGTCCTTTTAGGTATAAAGATGTATCAAATACCTGAGAAGAGTTGTTTCTGGTATATATTTCACACTCCTCCCAATTTATGAGCACACACAAATGTTTTTAACGGGTACTTTTAGTGTTTAAAACGTGGACAACAGTACTCTGAGCAGTAAAAGACTTGAGCGATGAACACTCCCCTCACGCCTCTTTTCAGTGGTTTTAGCCATGGGGCTTGGCACTGCCACCACTGTCCTTGTGCCAAAAAATATCCGCAGCGCCTGTCGCATTCTAGTACTGGAGGGTTGTCTCGAAAATCCCGCAGTGAGTGCGCAGGGCTTGTTCATCACCGCTATCTCTTTCAAATATTTGGAAAACGGAATCTTGAGCTCTTTCAAAGTGCCCGTTGTGGTCGTGGGACTCGGAGTGGGTGGGTAGGTGGTAAAGAATGGCGAAAGGAGGAGAGAGGCTCTGTGTGCCGGCTAGTTGATAGAAGGGACAAAATCCATGCCTGACACAGAGTAAACACAGATATTTGGGGGCTTTTGTGTTCCTCAGATTCATAGTTACTTGAGGGTTCTATTCAAACATGTACATGTTATCAGTGCTCTTGAAAGTTTTGTTATCTGAAGCCAGTGTTCCAGTGAATTTAAATAGGAAACCAACATCAAGACCATCTCTAATTTTTACTGGGCAATTTACACAATGCACACACACACACACACACACACACATATATATATATATATATGCATAAACACATATAATTTTTTTTTCTGGAAACTGAGGTGACATTTAAAATGGCCGCTTTTATCATTTGAAAAATGACAGGGTTAAAAATCTGATGTTTGAGAGGTCCTGGGGCTTTGTCTATAAACTCTAATTATTTTGCTCCCAACCAGGAGTTTGAACTCGGAGGGCAGATTTATAGTTGAATTTGGAAACAAAAAGCTTCAGTAAAGTTAAAGGCTTCCACTATCAGAATGAAATGCATTCACCCATGATCTCCAGAGCGATCTGCTTGATGGTAAAAGTGGATGCTACCGATGAAACCTTCACAAGGAGCATAATCCTTGGGAAAAAAAAAGGCCACCTCCCAGCCTCCTGCTGGCTGCGCTGCCTCTTTGGTACCTCGCAGACTTCGACAGAGTCCTGGACGGGTGCCCATTGATGTCATGGAAACACTCAAATTACGGAGAATGATTCATGTCTGTGCTGGTCTCTCATCCTCCCCCACACAAACAGGAGTAGATTTTAAACCCTGACAACTTGTAATTTGCAGTGGGTTTATTTTTGTATCTGGATAAATATTTTTTAACAAGCAAAATTAAGATTAAGCAGTCTGTATCTGATATGATAGTAAAGAATTTGGGCCCGTGGAGCCAACAATACTTTAGGGACTCTGTGTGGTGTGAATTCTCCTCCTCCTCCCCCACCTCCCCCCTTCCTCCTCCTCCTCTTCCTCCTATTCCTCTTCCTCCTCCTTCTCTTCCTCCTCCTCCTCCTTCCTGTCTCCTCCCCTCCCCTCTAGCCCCATGCTCTTTCTTTTCCATTTTCTTCTCCTTATCACATTTCTCTCTCACACTTTCTTGCTTTTCATATTTTAGACCTTCCTATTTGCATTATCCTAAATAGAAGGTGTAGCCCCAACTTATATATTTGTAGTGAGACAAATTTTGGGAGGAAAATTATTTTCTCTAATTCTGTGTTTTAAGAGTCGAGTTTGGGAAATATTATTGGAAGGCAAAAATCCTTTAGAGAATCACACACCAAAAAAGACATTTTATCTTGTACCTTGTATTTTATAATTTTGCAATTCAGTGTTTGGAAATTACCAAATCACTGTAGTAGATGTTCAATTTCCTGCAAGGACAAAGCTCATTCTTTATTTTTCTGTCCTTCTGTCTGTGGGCCATGAAGTGGTTAAACAGTGAGTGTTGTGTCCAAGTCAAATATGTCATGGTGTGCTGACGATTTCATGTATATAAGAGCTTAAGGGAAGACACGTGTCCTTTGGTATTGCACATAAAGGTCGAGCCTTTTCTGGTAGTAATAATTATGAAGTACAGTTAAAAGGTAGGAGTAGCTTACATGACACAGATGAGTAAAGGGATCTGTGTGTGTGACCGCTTGCATCATGGTCTCAGATGAGTGCACCTGCACAGTCATTACAGCCAAAGTTTCTTTCTTCCCTCTCCCAGGTTTGATACCATGTGTGATGGTGTCTCATTTCACTGGAAATGATGCTGATTGATTTTTATACTTTGCACTGAAGACAATAACAGAAATATAGTGTTCCTAAGTTTGAGATTTGTTAGACATAGAAAATCTTGTGGGTTTGGGTGTAAGACTCAGAATATTCAGTTGTCTTGCAAAATTGCTTTCTGTTTGATATGTTAATATAGGACATAGATATGGGATACACTTTTGGTCAGAGATAAAATTTGATGCTGGGCACGGTGGTGCAAGCCTTTAATCTTAGCATTCAGGTGGGAAGTAGAGACAGGCGGATCTCTATGAGATCGAGGTTGGCATGGTCTGCATAGCAAATTCCAGGCCAGTTGCCAGCTGGGGCTACCAGGAGACCTGTCTTAAAAAGCAAAACATAAAAAGCCAAGCATGGTGGTGTATACCTTTAGTCCAGCACTCGGGAGGCAGAGGCAGGCAGATCTCTATAAAATTGAGACCAGCCTGGTTTACATGGGAAGTTCCAGGCCAGCTGGAACTACAGGGAGATCTTGTCTTAAAGAGACCAAAAAAAAAAAAAAAAATCTGAAAGATACATTCTCTGTGTGCTGTCAAGTGGGTTTGTATACTCTGATGGCATTGACACTGACCTAAAAGAGAAAATGACTAGTGTTGCTTTCAGCATTTGTGTTGAATTGAGAGGGGAAGTTTTGAAGATTGTAGACTTTAAAAGGATATTGATTCAGCTCCTCAAGAGACAAGTTTTGGGGGCTGGAGAGATGGCTCAGAGGTTAAGAGCACTTGCTGGTCTTGCAGAGAACCTGGGATTGTATGCCAGCACCCACATGGTGGCTAAAAACCATTCGTAACTCCAGTTCCAGGGGATCCGACGCCCTCTCTGTCCTCCACAGGCATTGCACAAGATGGCTGCGCTTGCATACACATAAAAAACAAAACAAAACAAAACAAAAAATATCCAAATAATAAAAGAGACAAGTTTTGAATTTTCCCTTTGGGATAAAAGAAGAGTATGATGTGATGATCTATATAGTCCATCTCAAAGCCCTAATCTTGAAGGAAGACATGGCCATCAGTCTTGGATGGGGTGAGGTCTTGAGCACTGAATTGTCCCACAACCCCACAATCCCCCCTCTTCTGGTAAGAGCAGATTTCTAGGGCGACCCTTCAAACATCATTAACAAGATGCAACTACACTGACCTCTTGCAATGTGATTGTTTTTCTGTCTATTAAAAGCTAAACAGAAGAAAAAGTGTAACTTTGGTTTTATCCTTACATATGACTGTGTTGTAGCCTTGGGTCTTTACATGTCTGTTGAACAGTCTACAGGCACACATGGAGTTGTTAGAACTGGAGCAAGACATTCATCCAGTCCCCAGTCCCCAGGCCTGGTGGGTCTCCTGGTAAAACCTGAACTCGGGTGTGGGTGATTTTCTCAAAGCCTTCTTTCCCCAGTGTGTCTTCTGTCATCATCGTGATCATGACGGGGCTCACTCCTGGGAAGGAGAATTTTGAAAAAGGAGAGAGAGAAGGGGAGAGAGCTTAGAATTTAGAACAGTTTCTTTGCTCGATTCACCATCTGGAGAGCCTGTGATTGATTAGCTTTGGCCTCCCCATTAAGTGTCAATATAATCAATGGGAATTACCAGGCTAGGGTCATTACATAGATCATTTGCCTGCTGTGTAAATAAAAATGAAATTGTTCAAATTTTGTGAGAAAGAAAGAAAGTGAAAATAAGGGATGACAATTTGTTTGTTAGAGAAAGTGGAGACCACTGGAATGACAGTTTTTGGAAGTGTGGAGCAGTTTGGCTAAGAATAGGAATGAAGGGTATTTTTTTCCAGTTTTTCGTCGCCAGAGTGAGGAAGTGCTGTTCGCTCTCTTGCTTGCATACATTGCCAGTAGTGCCTACTTTACGTATGTAAACATCGGGGAAGAGAAGTAGATGTCTGTTACCTGCAGGAGAGTGTTTTTTAAAGGAAAAGCACGATTTATACTATTTTATTGTTTCTCTTGGCAGGTAAAACTGAAAGGGGTTCATATTCATCTTATGGGAGAGAAAACTTACAGGGTTGCCACCAGGTAAGTACCACTCTTGACTGGGGCACAGGTGAGAGGTTCAACCTGGGAAGTGAGCTTTTTTTCTCAGATGTGATTATGCGTTTTACCCTGTGACACTAAGGTGCAGGGGTGGAGAGCCTTCTCAGGACTGCCTTTAAGGAATAAAGCAATTCAGAGCTCAGGGCTGATAAACGTCTGGTTTTTAGGTCTCTGCCGGGTCAGAACGACATCCACTGGCTCGTTTTTATTTTTTTTTAAATCATCAGCCAGTACCCCTGGCACTGTTTGCAAACTAGCCATGTTGGTGAAAGTGGGTCTATCAAAAGAGTTTATTTGCAATTAAGAACTGAACAATTTCTTACCCAAGAAATACTCCGTGGAGCCATGTGTCAAATCCTGGGTTCGGGTGGCTGCTGCCCTAAATTATAATTTTCTTAGGGGCTTTATGATGTTGTGTGATAGCAGGGTGGTATTGAGGGATAAAAATGTCTGTGAAAATATGATTTGTTGTCCCTTTTTGTTTCTGAATTGTTTTTGGCTGGAAGTCAAGGCCAGCAGGCTAACAGCGAAGCCGTCTCAGGGGAAGCGTGCATGAGCTAGAAAAATAAGAGCACTTTAATTAAATAATAAAATGCCAGTGTAATACAAAAGTATAGCGCGTGTGTGTTTGTATCTGTGTGCCCTCTGCATCTGTATACTCTTAACTCTCTGGAAAGAACCCATTTCTGAAAAAAAAATACTATCTATAGGCAAAGTGGACGCTTTCTCTCGTCAATTGAAATTTTATAAATGTTTTCTTCTTGAATTTTAATTTCTTTATTAATCATAGTCAAGCTTATATTTTTTAATTTATACTTTTTAGAAAAGCACTGATTTATTACTTTAAAAAAGCTCTTACTGAAATGTGGTATTACACTTTTAATAACCAAAGCTCATTACTGTTTTATTCTTCACCCAAAGAAAATGTACATTCTTTTTTATGTCGGGGTGGGGAAAAAAAGGATGTTTCCTCTGTTAAACTCCCTCACCAGTTACTTTAATGATATAGGAGAAAAAGCCCATTTGAGATTTTTTTTAAAACAACCTGTTTAATATATCCTTGAAAACTGTAAGCACCCGCGTGCTTTAGTAATGAAACAGGGTGTCTGAAGGAAGTTACTTCATGTTACCACTCATCTGTCGTGAAAGGTGGAATCCTGGTGGGTTGGTTTTGAAGGTTTTCTCCCCCCCCCCGTATACATTTGCATTTTTAAAGTTGACTCCTCTGGCCCACTTGCCAATTCATACTCGGCATCTAAAAGATTTGTTGGGATGAGCTACACAGCTCTTGGTTAAGAACTCCTGCCGGAGTGCAGCCCATGGCTGTTTGCTTGGAAAGAATTCTGCAGGAAAGAAATTTACAGCCATTCCAGTGCAGCGGAAACATCTTTGGAATGTGAGTGCACATGTTCGGGGCAGATAGCCTGGGCAACAAGCCTCACAGTGCTGGGTCTCTGGTGTAAAGCTCTCAATTCCTGCAGAAAAGCCGGTTCCTGTGGATCTGGTTTCTGAGGGTCAAGGCAGAGGTCGCCAGAGTTTTGGGGAGAAGAAAGTTGACAACATCCTTTCTGCAGATGGTCATGGCACAGGTCTCTGTTTTCGCTGGGCCCCTTTCGTTGGTCATTGAGAGAATAGGCTTCCTCGCCCCTGTATCCTTTCTTACTAATAGGAATTGGCGTGATTCCTCACAGACACAAAGATTTCCTCTGCTGAGTAAGCGTGAGGCCCCTGAACTTGGGAAAGCATCATCCAGACCCTGTGAGTCTGTGTGAGCAGAGCACAGACCCTCCTCCCTGCATTTGTGGGAAACTTCCCTCTGGTGAAACTGAGCTAAAATTTTTTTGTTGTTTTTGCAAACACAAGGTGAGAAGTGGAGAGGGACATGGGGGGAATGGAGGTGGTTTGCCTGGCTTGTGTGAGGGCTGAAATTTGGGGGCCTTGGGAGGTTCCTTTTGAGTCGTTCATATCCAGGAAATTTCTTTTGTATGTTGGAGCTTAACTGCATCTGCTTTTCTTCAGAAGCCCGGAACGTAGCTGGGGAGCGTGGGGATGCCTTCCTCCTTAGTTCGCTTCATGTTTGTGAGTTTTGCAAGAACGGGCTATCTGTGTGCTCAGCATGGTCGCAGCAGTGTCCACCCATAAACAGTGGGGTACTTAAGGATAATGAAAGGGAAATGTTGAGAATTCCTTGCATGGGGAAGTAGGGCCACGAGAGGAGAAAGTGTACATGTTCTGGATTTCGGCTTTCTGTGAAATTTGAGAAAAGAGCAGACCAGAGTGTTTTCAGGGAATCAGTCTTTCTTGAGCCGCATTGTTCTTTGAATCCCTGTCTACTACACCAGCTATACAAACCAAAAAGAAAGGCAGAATCCCTGTGTCTTGGGCTTCAAGTCTAAATAGCAGATCACAGCTGAAATGCTTCCCCAGTGTGTAACAAGGTGAGTGACTCTTGGGGAGGGGAGCTTTTGTTTTCGCCTGTTTGCTACATTATTGAGATGCTGGACAGAAAACCTTTAGATGGGGTGCCTGGGGAGGAGCTCCAAAGCTGCCTTTTCATATGATAACAATGTAGCCTGTGGACCTAAAGGGATGAGCAGTGTTTTATGGGAACATGCTTATTCTAGTCCCAGTGGCTTTTTGTTTGCTCTACAGAAACAGTGGTGGTAAGCAACAGGTAGTAAAACATTGTCCTGAAGGGTTTATTTATTATTGTGAGATATATAGTATTTCAAAAGTACATCAGCATAATATTTAAATACGTTTACACATACACCCAACAATGTGTTTCTCTTAAGAATTTAATGTTAATAGTGATAAACACACAGCTTTTTAAAAATTGATATTTTCACAGAAAAATAAAAAGTCTGCAGGTTATTATCAATTAAGTTGTTTTCATTAAAATTGGGTAATAATATGAATAAGTGAATCAATGCATTTCCATGTGAAGTTATCAGAAAGAGACTTTGAGACTTTGGAAGTCCTACAGAAAATGAACCCATGGACAAACAGAAGTGGCCAAAGGAACTTTTAAAAGTTCTCTCACTAAATATGTGAAAGCTAATTCACATCCAGTTGATGTATGGAGATCTCACCCAGGCTTAAAACTTTCTTGCCAAATTACAACCTCATACTACTTTTACTGGCAACGAAAATAAAATTTATAATGGAAAGTCTGACAGAAACAAAAATGGGTGAAAATATGCTTTTTCACAAGCTAGCCCAACCTTAATCCTGTAAGAGCCAGTACCCAATTCCTAATGGGCAGCATCGTAACTAATAGAAGGGAAAAATATTGTCTGCTTGCTTTTGGTATCTTTTTCTCTGCTTTAAATAGGATGTTTGATGATTGGCAGACTCTTTGTTTTGCCAAATTCTACTGGTTTTAAATGCAAGGTGAGGTGGACAGCCAATTATTAGAACTTTTCACCTTGAGTGGAAGTTTGGCATTGGCGATCAGGAGATGTTTGTGGATGTAGTCTAAAGTCCTGCTTTCTCTATTAGCGTTCCCCGAGAAATAAGGGGGGGAGGGGTAGAAAGAGGAGAGGAGGAGAGGTATGAATGATAGCCAGAAAGCTGAGTGCTGAGACCAGTCAAATTAGTATCTTAGGAATTGGCCTGACCTGCTGTACCAACTCCCCTGGTGACTCAATATGCAACTAAATTTGAGCCTTTCCTAGAATGTTCTGTGGAATTATCTATTCTTTTAACTTTTAATGGCACTTGTTCAAAATCTGGCATTCCTACTGACCTTGATATATCTTTTAGACTTCTTGCCTGAATTAGATTATTCAAGGCATGGAAGTATATTACATATGACCTTCATTTAAAAGGGAGTGAAAATTAGTGATATGTTGAAAATCCACAAGATGCCTTGAAATCTTTATTCAGAATTCCGCTATGGCACATCTCAGCCTATACCCCGTTTCCTATAGTAAAGTAGCGAAGGCCAGCATTACCTATATCCATATTTCCTTCCTTGCTGAGAAGTACTCCAATAGGACAGTGCTAATAATATTATTTGAGGCTTAGATCTTAAAACCGATGGAGTAAACTTAAAAATTATGCTTAATTAATCTAGTATAGGCTTGTTAAATTTCAGAACCTTTAACACTGTAGAGGAAACATGTTATTTCTATGTGTAACTTAGTTCCTAAGCCTTCTCATTTGCAATTAATTGAAACTAAATATGTTGATTCTGAAATGCACTATACCTTTAAGTAAGAATTGAGTTTTCTTCTGATTATTTTGATTTGGGGGAGGATACAAAAGCCAATACGACTGGAATAATGTTAAAGCTTTGGCCTTTTAAAAAGTTTTTCTTGCCTAAAGTCAAAATAGAAAGAGCTTAAAAAAGGTACGGGACCCTTTTAGTCTGTTGTGAAAATGGCTAGTTAGACCTTGTGGGAGAAGAAACCCATGCTGTTTTTCATGGGATGCTGTGTCAGAGTGCTTGCTCTTGGTCTCGGTTCAGCCTGGATCCCCGCATTCTCCCTGGGAGCCTCTTCCATGCAGGCCTGCTGTACACCCCTTCAACTCTCTGCTTTCCCTTTATGATATAAATAATGGCAGCTTTACAAATATGTTTGTTGACTGTTGGCTGCCACTAGGTTCCAGAAGCCCCGGAGGGCAAGGGCCACGTCTGCTCTATCTTGCACTATGTGTTGTGCCGGGCAGGTTAAAACTGTAAGATCGGTTAAAACTGTAAGATCTTACACTTTTTTCCTCAGGGTCACTGTATAAAATCATTAGAGGAAATGAAGTTTGAATAGCAGTGTATACAAACCATGCAGTGGGCATCTTTTTTTTTTGTGCCTATGAAGATCAAGAAATAATATTCAAAGAAAGTCTTTTGGAAGCATTTTCTTCTAATAAGGCTCTCAAAGATCACAAGTCACTCTCTGTAGAGGTACTCCAAGTGCTCTGAACTGACTGTCCACCAGGTGGTTTCACTGCCCTCACTGATTTTTATGTTGTAATTTTGC